TCCACAACCATCGACGCCATCCTGCGAACGTCCAAATAGGAGACTGAGCGATGGTAACAACACACCCTGAGATAGAGAAACTAAGTTCGCCAGCTACCGAGTCAGAGGCGAGCGACCATCCCATCAATGGAGAGTGGGGCTCCCTGAACCCTTCCACACCGGCTAGACCCCTAGAGGATGGCATAGTAGACATGGGTCCGGCATTTGAGGAGAACACCCTGCTGGGAACAATGAACGATGCACGACTGCGAGTTCGGCAACCGTTCCAGGTAACTATGGCGACCGAGAACGACGACTTTATCGCGGAGGCAGAGGAGATCGACGAGTTTGGCTTTGGGAAGAACCCTTCCGCGGCGGTTCGAGACCTGCAGTTGACGATCGTCGAACTCTACTTCACGCTCAAGAACGAGGCGCATCGTCTCGGGCCCGATCTCAAGCGCGTTTTCAGCGTGCTTGAATCCAAGCTCGACCTCACCCATGACGATTAAGGCACGGCAGTTTGACCGATTAGTTCAGAAGCTGGGCCTTAAGACCCGAAGCAGCGACCATCTTCTCGCTTGGTTTGAACATGATGGGAAGATCATCACCAGAACCAAGCGATCCCGCGGTTCCTCCAGCGACTTGCCTATGCAGCATAGCATTCGACAGCAGCTGAAGATGAACGCGCGAGAGTTCCAGAGTGCTGTCGGGTGCACCCTAACGAAAGACGGCTACCTAGAGATTCTTCGCAAGAAGGGGCTGCTGTAGCCCCCACTCCCCGATTTGACATCGATAGAACGCACGTCCTATTCTTGATATGTGAGCATTCCTGACTGGCGTTGAGCGGGTCGGGATCACAACCGAATACACCAGAGATGCCGGAGCGCGTCCCAGTTTGAGAAAAGTTGGGGCGCGCTTTGATGTTTAACGAACGGACGATGACGAAGGGGACGGCGGTCGGGCCGTGCGTCACGGGAGCTGTGTGCCGGTATCGAGACGGCATCCGGGCTGTGGGTGCCGGAGGGGACGGCGGTGGAGATGCCGTACGTGGCGGGGACCGGACGCGGACACGGGCCGAGGTGTGGTCGTACACCGGTTCCGGTTTCATGATCCACGCACGGGACGCAGCCAGATCTGCCACGTTCCGGCCCACCCGGATGCAGCGCCGTCGGAGATCGAGGATATGGCGGCGGAGGCGTTCGAGAGCTTCCTGCGCGAGGTGCGCGGACTTGGGCCACTTCAACGGCATACGCCGGAGCAGCGCAAGGAGATCGGCGCGTCCATTCGGGAGTTCCGCGAGTACGCGGCCAAGCGCCGCCAAAGCGCGACGAACAAGATCTACTTCTAGCCCCGGAACGACGCACCGAGAAAGGACTATGCCCATGTCAGGCACACAAAGACGGACACGCGAACAGCTCCGCAGGAGCATCGGACGAAACCTGATCGGCCATCGGCTGATCGTCACGTCGGCAACGTCGGACGGAGACACGACGGGGCTGATCGACGACACCCTGCTCGGCGGGGACGACAACTACAACGGCTGGTGGTTCGTGGCGACATCGCCAATGGCGAACGCGGGCGCGATACGTCGCGTCTCCGACTACGACTCGACCAGCGCTCGTCTGAGCTGGACGAGACCACTATCGGAAGCAACGGTCGTCAACGACTCGTACGAGCTCTGGCCCTCTGAGTACCCGCCCGAAGTCATCCACGACTACATCAATCAGGCCATCAGCGAGGCGGCGGGGCACATCTACGAGCCGGTCGAGGACGTGTCGCTCCACGCTGGCGATGGACTCGCGCGGTTTCCCATCCCGGAGGGCGTCGACGCGATCTCGAAGGTGCTGGTCAGGGTATCGGCGGCCTCAATACCGGCCCACCAGGCCGGAAGCGCGGGTCGATGGTAGTACCGCCGCGTGGCGGACGCTGCCGCCGCACCTGTGGGGCATCGACAAGGGAGACCGCTCCCTGACGCTCATGGACGGAGGCAGGCGACTGGCGGGCCACGCGCCCCTCAAGCTCGTCGGGGGCAGGGAGCCGTCGGCGATGTCCTCCGACGCGGCGTCGACCGTCGTGCCGGACGAGTTCATCATCGCACGGGCGACGGTGTTGGCCCTGCTCGCATCGCCGGACCTGTCGGAGTCCGGCAGAGCGGCCACTGAGAAGTGGGACGCACGGACACGCGAAGCACGAGCCGCGTTCCCGTTGCTGACAAACGTGCGAAGAGTCGGATAGCTAGAAATTGCGGCCCCTCCGTCGCGCGGACGTGGGGGTCGAGGACCGGAGAGTGAGAATGGCGGAAAACGTAGTCAATCAACAAGAGATATCCCTGGACGGCAAACGGTATCGGATTGCGCCGAGGCGAGGGGCAAGCGTCCGGTCGTTCATCGCGTCGCGATATCCGGGCAAGCTGGTGCTGGGCGACGTAGGGTCGGACTCCGATCCGAGGCGCAGCGTGGTCAAGTGGACCGATCAGCGCGGCGGGCTCGGAGTGTACAAGCTCGACGCGCGTGACCCGGAGCTCGACCGCTGCTCTTACACGTCGTGCGACGTCCGGTACAAAGGCGGCATTACCCTGCCGCCCCTCTCGCGGTACACCACGGGGGCCGGACTTGTAGGAGACATCACGGCCATCGGGGAACTGAACGATGCGTACGGCGACAGCGAGGTCTATGCGGCGTGGGGCGGCGGTACGGACATTCGCAAGTACGACGGCAGGGCCGACTCGTGGGGCGAGTCGCTGCACACGCTGCCGAGCGCGGCGACGGACGCCGTCACCATCTCGCACCCGGGATCGGGCGGCGGTCATACGCAGTACCTCGTCTTCGCGCATGGGGGCGGAGGACTCACCTACACGTCGGACGGGGCGACGTTCAACACCAACGTCAAGCCCGCGAAGTTCCTGGCGTACTGGAGCGACCGTCTATGGGGGATAGACGACGACGGGAGGCTGTGGCAGGGCCCGGCGGGGCTGCTCAGGACGAGCAGGTACTCGTGCATAGACGATGCCGCGCTGCCGCTGCCGTCTGGGTATGTCACTTCGCTGTTCGTGGGGCCGGACCGTTCCGGCAGACCGATTCTCTACGCGGGAACCAAGGTCGGGCTCTACGCGCACGACGACGCAAACAACCGCTTCGTAGAAACGCCCGCGAGGTGGCCGAAGCACGACATCGGCGGATCGGGCGCGACGGCTTGGAGGGGCATCATCTACGCGCCGGTCGGTCGGCACGTGTACGCATACTCTCCGGGGCGTCGGACGTTCGATTTCGCGTTCCCACGGCGGGGCGAGGACGGCCTGTTCACCAAGGCCGGCACGCGGGGCGGGATCACCAAGCTCGTGCCGACCCATCTCGACCTCGCGGTGGTGATGGACGGTCTGGGTGCGCCCTTCACGCCTGCGGACATCTTCCTCTGGGACGGCGTTGGCATCTCGCACGCGCATTCGACACAGGCGTGGATGTCGATTACGGCAGCATTCGTCTCCAACGCCTACGGGAAGTACCGGCTGTGGTGGGCGACCGACCAAGGGCTGTTCGGGGACTCGCCGAACATCGGCTACACGGAACTTCCCGAAACGCTGACCAACTCGCGATACGGGCCTGCGGCGTCCTACGCTTCCGGCTACCCGGACACGAACGGTCTGCTCCGAGCGACGCACGCCTATCCGTGGTTCGACGCCGGCCAGCCGGAGGTCACCAAGACGGCGCTGCGCCTCCGGGTGGATACGCAGGACTGTACGGAGACCGAGGTGATCGAGGTGTACGCGACGGTTGACTATGACGACTTGTCTTCAACGCTGATCGGACGGATTACGACCGGCGGCACGACGACCTTCAACCTGCCAAACGAGGCGACACCGAACGGGATCGACTTCAAGGCCTTTCAGATCACGTGCAGGCTGGGGAGAGGGCTGGACGAGACGAAGACCCCTGTCCTCGTCTCGATGGCGCTGGAGTACCGCAAGAAAATTCCGACGAAGTACGGCTTCACCTTCGACGTGGCGCTGAGCCAAGAGCATGGCGGGCGCACGCCGAGGGACATGCGCTCCGACCTCGCTGCGGCCATCGAGAGCACGAACCTCGTCGAGTTCACGTTTCGGGACGACGCGGGCACGACGCGAACGCACTATGTCGATGTGGTCAGCGTGTCGGGCGGCGAGGAGACCGGCCTGGACGAGCGGGGCACAAGCAGGGTGACAGTGGAGGAGATTTAGCGATGAGACTCATACACGGACAGGAATCGGTGACGAAGGGCACACCCGCTCAGCTTACGAGCGAGCCGTTGAGGGCGGTGAAGCTGTGGATAAAGCACGCGAACGGGGCTAACGGAGTCGCTCGGCTTACGGGCCAGACGGCGGGAGAGTCCGGCGTGGAAATTGGGACGAAGCTCGCGGAGTTCGACTTCACGACGGCGGGCAGGGGCAGCATCGACGCCTCTACCCTGTACGTGGACGTCTCGACAGGTACGCAGACGGTTACCTGGACGCTGATGGTGGCCTGAGATGATATCGGTCGACAGGGCGGACAGAGGCGTACTCTACTGGGTCATCGGCATCCTCATCACGGTCAATCTCGGCCTGATGGGGTGGTCGGTCGTGGTGCTGGACGGCAAGGCGGACGACGCCGCGGTGGCGCGCATCGAGCGGCAGGCGGACGAGATCGGACGGCGCGACCGGGACTACCTCGTGCGCTCCCAGATCGAGGACCTCGTGCGGAACGGGTCGCCGTACGTGAGCGACAAGCCGAAGATCGAGGACCAACTCGACAAGCTGGAGGCGAGCGTAGGGCGCAACGAAGGGGACATTCAGGCCTCGACGCGCTCATTGGTGCGGATCGAGACGCAGGTCGCCCAGATACGCGAGACGCTGCAGCAGCTCGACGGCAAGCTCGACGAGATCACGGACACGCTGGCCCGCGCCGGCGCGCTGGCGCGGCGGGAGTGAGGGGGCTTGGGGCGGGCCCTCTGGTACACTGGATGTATCGCGGCGCAAGCCGCATCACCGAAGACCTAAGGAAGAATCCATGAAGGCGTTGGTACTTTTCCACTCGTTGTATGGGCACATATACAAAATGGCCGAGGCCGTCGCGGAAGGTGTAACCCGGGTCGAGGGGGCCGAAGCGACAATCAGGCGAGTGCCCGAGGCTATCCCGCAGGAGACGCTTGAACGCATGGGGGCAAGTCACGCGCAGCAGACCTTTGCGCACATTCCCGTTGCAGCGCCCGGTGAACTGAGCGAGTACGATGCCGTCATCTTCGGCACGCCGACCCGGTTCGGCAATATGTCCGGCCAGATGCGCACCTTCTTGGACCAGACCGGAGGGCTGTGGATGCAGGGCGCGCTGGTCGGAAAGGTGGGCAGCGTCTTCACGAGCAGTTCGACTCAGCATGGAGGGCAGGAATCAACGATACTCAGCTTCCACACGACACTGCTTCATCACGGCATGGTGGTCGTTGGGCTGCCCTACGCCTTCAAGGGCCAGATGCGTATGGACGAGATTACCGGGGGCAGCCCGTATGGCGCCTCTACCATCGCGGGTCAAAACGACCGTGAGGTTAGCGAAAACGAGCTGGAGGCCGCTCGCTTTCAAGGCCGTCACGTCGCTGAGATCGCCAAGAAGCTGGCCGCGTAAGAGCCTCATCGGGCAAGAGCGGCCTGCGGCAACGTCCGAAACCCGTGACCACTTCACACCGGAGTTGATACATGAGCTGGGCAAAGGTTGTTCGTCCTGAAGATGAGCGAAGGGTCATTCACGGCGCAGGCGACGAATATTCGATGATGGCCACAGGTGAGGACACGGACGGTCACTACTTTTTCGTGGAAGCAGTCGTTCCACCCGGCGGCGGTCCTCCTCCCCATATCCAGACGCGGGAGGAGGAGGGGTTCTACGTAACCGAGGGCGAAGTGGTCTTCAGGGCCGCGGGCAGGCAAGTTCTCGCGACTCCCGGCACGTTCATCCACGTCCCGCGCGGAGTACCTCACTCCTTCAAGAACGAGTCCGAAGCGGTAGCGAGGATGGTATTCTTCTTCGTCCCCGCCGGCATCGAGGAGATGTTTGAGAAGATGGCTGCGGACCCCGACCGTTTCGTCGAAATCGCCGGAGAGTACGGAGTGGAGTTCGTGGACGCTGCGTAGTGCCGGGCGGCACGAGAGACGCGAGCGTCGGCTCAAACCAGGGACTCTTCGGTACCCGCCGATTGAAACGGGTTCGCCTTCGATTCGGCGCTATCCTATTGGCAGACGATGCGTTATATAGTGTAGCATCGGCGCGCCGAGGCAAATCGACATGCTCTTGGCAGCTCCTTATACGGGAAGCCGACCATGCCCGACCGCAACGATGCTCCGTCAAAGGAAGAAGTAGAGGACCTGGTACGACGAGCGCAGCAGGGACATAGTGAGGCGTTTGCGGGCCTGTACGAGGCCTACTACGACAAGATCTATCGCTACGTGATGTTCAAGACCGGTGACACCCTCGAGGCGGAGGACCTGACCGAAGAGGTGTTCCTGAGGATGTTGGAGTCGATAGGCTCCTTCAAGTGGCAGGGTTATCCCTTCACGTCGTGGCTCTTTAGGATCGCACACAACCTCGTGATCGACTACTACCGAAAGGCGGGACGGCAGAAGAAGACCTCTCTCGACGACGCAATGCGGGTGGTGGGGACGGACAACGTGGACGTGGACAGGAAGCTGGACGTAGAGCTGTCGATCAAGGAGGTCAAGGAGGCGATGGGCGGGCTGACGCGGCTGCAGCAGGAAGTGTTATCCCTGCGGTTCGCGGGCGGGCTGTCGGTTGCCGAGACGGCGGAGGCGATGGGCAAGAAAGAGAACGCGGTCAAGGCGCTGCAGCACGCGGCAATCAAGAAGCTCAGGACGCTCCTTGGCCCGGCGATGGAACAGGGCCTGATAAGCCAAGGCGGTGCATAGGATGAACGGTACCGTAGACGACATACTGAACGAATGCATCGAGCGACTCGCGGCGGGCGAGACGGTCGAGCAGTGCCTGGCGAGCTACCCCGACCACGCGGTCGAGTTGGAGCCGATGCTGCGCACCTCAGCCGCGACGATGAACGTCGCCGCGGCGATCACGTACCGCCCGGAGGCCAAACAGCGGAGTAGGTACAACTTCACGGCCGCCGTGGCGGACAGGCAACGAGAGGCTAACCGGGGTTGGCTAGGTCGCGCTATCCGACCTTCGGGCTGGCGGGCGAAGCTCGCGCGGACGGCCGCGGTGGCCCTCGGCGTCGTCGTGCTGGGAACGGGCACCGCATACGGCGCGACGGTGGCCTCCGAGGACAGCGTGCCGGGCGATCCGCTCTACGCGGTAAAGACCCTCAAGGAGGACATCTCCCTGAGGATGCCGAAGTCGGACCTGGCGCTGGCGAAGGAGCACGCGCACCTGGCAAACGTCCGCACCGAGGAGCTCGGCGCTCTCATCGACCGGGGCAGGATGGAGCAGGCTAATAAGCAGGTCGTGCGGGTGACGTACCACCTGAACTCGTGCGCGGAGCTCGTCGGCGTTACGATCACGGCCAATGCGAACCCCTTGGAGATGCCTGCCCAGCCGGCGCGGATGAGTCGGCAGCCGCGAATAGTCGAACTCGTCGCGTTCTATGAGTACGAAGCACAGCGCGCGCGAAACCGCTTCGAGCGGCAAATGCGACGCCTGCCGCCGCATCGGCAGTGGGAAGCCTACCTGATGATGCAGCAGTGGGAGATGATGCACCGCATGTTCCTGCAGGCCCTCTTACACGAAGGCCCACCTGTGTGGATCGTCGGGATCGACCCAAGAGGCGGGCCTGCGCAATAACGCGAGGGGCGGTCCTTGTCGGACTGTGCCTATTGGGACTCGCGGCAGCCGTCCTCAACGCCCTACCCTACATCACGAACTGAGCGTCACGCGGTCGTTTCTTGCCTCCATGTACACGACGGCTCGGCACACCACTTTTGGGACAGGCGTCGGACGGCCTCGTAAACTTCCTCATCGAAGCCCAAGAGGTCACAGACCACCCGCCGGTCGAGCAGAGCGCGGTTCGGGTCAGCGTCCGCGAGGTAGGCGGGCTTGAGCTCCTTGTCTCGAAACTCGTCGAAGATCATCTCAGCGGTGGCAAGCTGCTCGTCGTTGAAGGCGCGGAAGTCGTAGACTGCCCAACAACAACTCGAAGAGGGTTCTGTCTACCACCCAAAAGGGTCCACCCCAGCCGTTCCATCAACCGCCGCCGGACCCTCGGCGAAGTCAAGCTCGTTGAGCTTGGCAGGCGTCGTCATGGGCGGGGCGCTCGTATAAGACGCAAACGGGGGATGTCGACAAAGTCGCCGTCGTCCGAAGCGAGGGGACAGGAGAGGCGTATTGCGGTGGCGGCGATCCAGGCATCAGCGGTGTTCAGCCTACGTCCAGCCTTCTCTCGTTCGACTCGCAAATTGGCGGAAATATCCGCCGTTTCCACGTCCGGCCATACCACTTCGTATTGCTCCAGATGGAGCGCAAGCTTGTTTTTCTGGCGCGCACCCCATCCGGCCTTGTACGCTCCGTACCACATTTCCTCAACCGTCTGAAAAGATACCACCGTGCGCTGGCCAGCCATATGGGGCAGGTAGAAGCCGCTGCGCGGATCCCCCTTAAACACAAGCGAAACGACGCTCGTATCTAGGACAATCACCCTGGCCGGTTCCGCTGCACATCACGCCCTTCACGGATGCCACGAATAAACTCGTCCACGTCGAAGGGTTCACTGGTTGTAACTACCGTTTCAGGATCGAAGATTTTGGGATTTGGGTCATTGAGGAACGCCTCGACATCAAAAGGATCATTCCACGAACGGGCGTCGTTAAGCTGCTGCACTTCGACAGATGTCCACTTGTTGTCGTTGAACCTTCCCCTCCCTCTCACTTCCACGTGCCGAGTAGCAAGGCGGAGCATGTCCTGGTTGAATTCCTCTGCAAACCTCAGTTGCACGTATTCGCCTGAATAGTCGTGTAGCTGGGCTGTGCCCTTGTCCCAATTGACCTCATATAACCAACCATGAAGCAGGGCCTCGGTTACGCCGGTTGTCTTGCGGGCAGTTGTTGGCCTGCGATGGATTTCCACCCTGTGGGGGTTGTCCCTGCCCCCGAACCAAAGTCGCACACCGTCCGAAAGCTTCGCCGCTGTCGAATGTAGCGTGTCTTCAACATCCTTTGGCAGAGTGGTAGCTTGCATGCCATCCCACTCTTGCAAAGCTGCTATCGCCCGATTGCCAAAGTCATCCAAATAGGATTGACCATCCGGAGGAGCTTCTACTACCAGATCACCGACGAAGGAACCGGGCCGCATTTCTACGAGGCGCAAAGTGCTCTGATCCCGTATCCACCTGGGAGGCTGGCCAGGACCTTTCTCGCGGTCTCCTAGGTGCTGCACCATGAGCCGGACGGCGTCTTGGATGCCCGCGAGCGCGGTGATGATCTCAGGCACCAGGCCGCCTAGCTGAGATTCATCAGGATCCGATAGAGCGAATGTCAGTCTTTGCTCCGCCATGACCTCCTCCCGACACTAACGCGCTACCATGGTTTTGCGAGAGGTACAGTATAACATCCGCCTCACGCATCCGCTCCAGCAACCAACGCCCTAAATCCCCGTGGCAGGGCCCTCTTGTAGTGTCTTAGCCTATCGATAGTCTGAGCCTAGAGCCCTTTCCTGAGCGCCTCTTGAGCGCGGCACCGCACCCCGTCCCAGCCTCCGTTCTCCTCCCGGTCCACGCTGGCCTCGCTCGGCGTGAGCGAGGCCGCGACTACTGAAATAAAATTCCCGAAAAATACGTCCAAAAAACCTTGACCACCCTTCCGAGCGGCGTATACTGGATTGAGAGGGTGTTGATTTCGAGAGTGTAAGCGGGCCTCATGCCCGTCTCTGTTTGTCTTCGCCCGTAACTGAGGATCGCCGGTGAGCGATCAGAGGAAGGGGCCTGCCGGGGCCGCGTAAACCCGGCCAGATGAGTCTTTTCGTACGAATCCTTCGATTCCCCCTAAACCACAAGCGGCGCCTCTTGGCCGCGTACCTGTTCACAGCAGGCGCTACCGCCGCATACGTATTCCTCCCTGAACTCTTCGGCAACGCGGTCGACAACGTGGCCGGTACGATCGAGGCGGGCGAGGCGGTGAACTCCGCCATTCTTGTCACCTGCATACTGATCGTCGGGCTCGGCATGGTGCGCGGCATATTCTCGTTCGGCCAGATGTACATGGGCGAGTCGCTGGGCCAGCACGTCGTCTACGACCTGCGCAACCGGTTCTACAACCACGTCCAGCACCTTGGCTTCGGCTTCCACGACAGGCAGCACACCGGGAAATTGATGTCCAAGGCGATTACCGACGTGGAGGCGATCAGGATGTTCGTCAACCTCGTCGTCGTGCGCACGCCCTACTTCATCGTGCTCTTCGTCGTGGTCGTCGTCCTGATGATGAGACTCGACTGGCAGCTTTGGGCTGATAAGCCTGGCGCTGCTGCCCGTGGCGATGAGCGTGGCCAGCCTGATACGGCTGCGGATGCGGAACGCCTGGCTCGAGGCCCAAGAGAAGTTCGCGGTCCTGAACACCACGCTGCAGGAGAACCTGACAGGTGCGCGGGTGGTCAAGGCGTTCGCCTCCTCCGACTACGAGGAGGAGAAGTTCCGTGTCCACAACCAGGCCGTCTGCCGACGACATGTACAGGGCCATGAGGCTCCACGCGTTCAACGGCTCGTTCGTGCTGTTCATCTTCCTGCTGACGCTCGGCATGGTGCTGCTGTTCGGCTGTCTCGGCGTGATCGACGGTCGCATGACGCTTGGCGAGTTCACGAAGTTCGTCCTCTATCTGCAAATCCTGGCCCAGCCGTTCCGCATGGCGGGCATGATCGTGAACAACCTCGCGCGGGCGATGTCGGCCGCGACGCGCATCTTCGAGGTGCTCGACGCCAAGTCTCCGGTCGAGGACCGCCGCGGCGCCGTCGAGATGAGGCGGCCGGCCGGCCACGTGCGGTTCGAGAACGTGAGCTTCGAGTACCGCAAGGACACGCCTGTCCTGCGTGACTTCAATCTCCACGTTCCTGCCGGGAAAGTCGTCGCTCTCCTGGGCGCGCCTGGCAGCGGCAAGAGCACCCTTGCCAGCCTGATACCCCGCTTCTACGACGTGACGAAGGGAACGGTCACAATTGACGATGTCGACGTGCGGGACGTGACGCTGGAGTCGCTCCGCAGGAACATCGGCGTGGTACAGCAGGACGTGTTCCTGTTCACCGACACGATAGCCAACAACATCGCGTACGGCCGCCCCGACGCGACCCGCGATGATGTCATTCGGGCGGCGAAGATCGCGCAGCTGCACGAGCACGTCGAGAGCCTGCCGGAGGGCTACGAGACGGTCCTGGGAGAGCGCGGAGTATCGCTCTCCGGCGGCCAGCGACAGCGCATGTCGATAGCGCGCGCCATCCTCCTCGACCCGCCGATACTGGTGCTCGACGACTCGACTTCGAGCGTCGACGCGCGACGGAAAACGACATACGAAAAGCGATGGCGTCGGTGATGCGGGGTCGGACGACCTTCATCATCGCGCACCGCCTCAGCACGGTGCATTCTGCCGACATGATCGTCGTCCTGCAGGACGGGCGAAATCGTCGAGCGGGGCAACCACACCGAGCTCGTGAAGCACGGGGGGCTGTACCGCGAGATCTACGACCTACAGCTTCGCCCGCAGGAAGAGGTCCTGATGGAGTTCGACGTACCTGCGAAGGCCGCAGCCGGGAGAGTGACATCATGATGCATGCCTTCGGCGGCAGGCCATCGGGCGCGAGCAAGGACGGGCTGGACGAAGAGGTCTTCGGAAACGCCGTAGACCCAAAGGTCATCCGCCGGATGCTCCCGTACATCCTTCCTCAGAAACGACTGGTAGTCATCGCCATCGTCGCCATGCTGCTCTTCGCGGCGACGCAGGTTTCGGTGCCGTGGCTCGTCAAGCTCGGCATCGACCGGTACATCGCCAACGAGGACCGCGGAGGCCTTTTCCTCGTGGCCGCCCTGTTCTTCGGGAGCGCCGTGGTGAACTGGGTCTCCCTCTACGTGCAGGACATTACCATCACCAAGGCCGGACAAGGCGTTCTGCTGGCGCTGCGGCACGACATGTTCTCGCATATGCAGAAGCAGTCCATGCGCTTCTTCGACAAGACCGAGGTTGGACGCATCATGTCGCGCGTGCAGGGCGACGTGTACCAGCTGCAAGAGTTCCTGGGCACCATCGTGATGACCGTCGGCGACTTCCTCAGCCTCGGCGGGATCGTGGCCGTGATGCTGCTGCTCGACCTGCAGCTGGGACTGCTCGCGCTGGCAGTCCTGCCGCTGCTCGCCATAGCAATGGCCGTGTGGCAGCCCTTCGCCAGGAAGACGTTCATCCAAGCGCGGGCGACGATTTCAGTCGTCAACGCGTCGCTGAACGAGAACATCACCGGAGTGCGCGTCGTGCAGGCGATGAACCGCCAGGATGAGAACCTTCGCCAGTTCGACGTGAAGAACCGAAGCAACCTCAACGCCTTCCTGGGCGCGGGACGGCTCTCGGCCGGGGTGCTGCCGATGGTCGATTTCCTGCCTGCGGCGGCCATTGGCCTGGTGCTCTACTTCGGGGCAGGCATGGTCACGGGCGGGGCTATCGAGATCGGTCTGCTGATCGCGTTCATCATGTACATCCAGCGCTTCTTCGACCCGATCCGCAACCTGACGATACAGTACACCCTGCTCCAGCGCGCCATGGCGTCGGGCACGCGCATCTTCGAGACCCTAGACGTCGAGCCGGACATGGTCGACGCTCCTAACGCTGCCGTTCTGCCGCCCATTCGCGGAGAGGTCGAGCTGCGGAACGTGAGCTTCGCCTACAAACAGGACGAGGACGTCATACACAATTTGAGCCTGCGCATCGAGCCGGGGCAGGCGGTCGCAATCGTTGGCCCGACCGGCGCGGGCAAGACGACGCTCGTCTCCCTGATCGCCCGGTTCTACGACGTTGAGCAGGGACGAGGCGCGGTGCTGGTGGACGGCCACGATGTGCGCGACGTGGTGCGCACGTCCCTGGCGAGCCAGATGACATGGTGCTCCAGGAGCCGTTCCTCTTCTCCGGCACCGTGCGGGAGAACATCAAGTACAACCACGTTGACGTTTCCGAGGAGCGGATGATCGAGGCGGCGAAGGCCGTCGACGCGCACAGCTTCATAATCAAGCTCGAAGACGGGTACGACACCTACCTCGAGGAGCGCGGCGAGAACCTGAGCGTCGGCCAGCGCCAGCTCATCAGCTTCGCCCGATCCATCGTGGCCGATCCCAAGATACTCATCCTCGACGAGGCGACGGCCAATATCGACAGCCACACCGAGGCGCAGATCCAGCTTGCTTTGCGGAGCCTGCTCCGGGGCAGGACGGCCATCGTCATCGCCCACCGCCTCTCGACCATTCGCGGGCGCCGACAAGATCGTCGTCCTCAATCACGGCGAGCTAGTCGAAGAGGGCACGCACAACGAGCTCCTCGACCGCGACGGGCTGTACTCGCACCTGTACCACATGAACTACGCCGTCCTCGAAGAGATCGGCGTGACGTAGCATCCCCACAAAGGGCAAACCCTATACGTCCTCACCTTGCATCCTTCCCCCTAGGCGGAAAGACCAAGGAAGCGGGATATCCACGTATTCAGGAAGGCAGCATGACCGGAAACCTCCGTGCATCGCGCCACCTCGACCTTGAGGGCGCGTACAACATCCGAGACATCGGCGGCTATGAGACCGTCGATGGACGAAGGACCCGCCCACGAACGCTGTTCCGGTCCGACAGTCTCCACAATCTCACGCCGGACTCCCAACGTGCCCTGGTCTCGGAAGGCCTGCGTACGGTGGTCGACCTGCGGGTGACCGAGTCCGTCTCGGAGCATCCGAACGTCTTCGCCCGGTCGTCGGAAGTGGACTACCGCTGCGTGAACGTCATGGGGGACGAGCCGCTGGTGGAGGTCTCGGACATCCGCGTCTCGGCGCTCGGCCCCGACAGGCCGCCCGACATCTACGCCGCCATCATCGACCGTCGCCGGAGTGGATGGGCAAGGTCGTCAAGCTCCTCGCGACTCCCGGTGCGCTCCCCGCGCTCTACCACTGCAACTCCGGTCGCGATCGCGCCGGCCTAGTGACGATGCTCCTGCTGAGCATAGCCAACGTGCCGGCGGAAACCATCGTGGAGGACTACAGCTCGTCGGCAATGTACCTTTGGCGGCGCATCCCCGACCGCGCGGCCGAGAGGCGTCTGCGTCTCGACCCCGCAGATTTCGATGCTTCGGAAGAGTACCGGCAGGCCTACGAGACCGAGCGGAGCATCGCCCCGCCGCACGCCATGCGGAACAGCATCGAGCACCTTGAGCGTGAGTACGGCGGCGTACGTCCATACCTCATGGGCGCGGGCGTCACCGAGGAAGAGTTGGAGCGTCTGCGAATCGCGATGGTGGAGTGAGGGGCGGCTGCCTCTCGGCGCTCCTTCTTACCGGCCTACCCTATCTGTAAACCTGCGTTGCCGTCGTGACGTTTCCGATGTGCCAGAGCACCGAGGGCGGCAGGAGGAGGACACCGGCGATTACAATGGCCGAGAGAAGCGCCGCGGCGAGGGGCGAACCGTACCGGGCCGTCGGTTCGTTGTCGCAGGCGGCAAGACGGTCGATGAGCCATCCGCCGAGCGCGAACAACAGCGCAGAGGGAATTGCCGTAAACATGAAGCCTCCGCCCTCCGATACCATGCGAAAAGGAACACCGAAGATCGTGTCGAGGGTGAATCCCACGAAGTCGACGAACGGGATCGCGCCGTCGACGTATGCCAGGACCACGTTCGCCTGCGGCAGTGCGACGCCGCCGAGGAGCAGCGAGAACGCGACCCAGTACGCCGCGCCGATCGCGGCCCAAGGGAGAATGCCCAGTGGGTGCCGCGGCGTCGATGACGCGAACGCGCGGGACGATCTGTTTAACAGGTACCCCACGAGTCCTGCGACCACCAGACCGCTCACCCCGCCCACGATCATGAAATAGAGGATGTCGGAGGACGGAAGGGCGTCGGCATCGACGGCGAACTTCGAGGTCAGCCCCACGATGTTCGTAACAACGACGGACGCCCCGAGGGCCGCGCCGTACAGCCCGATGCTCGCGGCGAAACGCCAACGTGGCCAGGTGTCCTCTCGCGGATCGGCCAGTACGAGTTTTGATGTGTCGGTGGTGCTCGTCATATGGCTCGTGCGCCTAGCCTCCTTTGGCGATTGGCCGATAGTAGACCTCGGTGCTATCGACATCTGCAGTGTTTAGGAGAACGGCCCCACCCCCTGGATGATCATCAAGTCGATACTCTTGCTCCCGATCTCCTTTCGGATAGTACCTTGCACTCTCTATGAGAAAGTCCTTCTCCTTTTGAGAGTCCGGCAACACGGGATACGATGCGAGTTCACCGTAATAGACATCTCCACGCTTCATCCTAACCAGCAAGAGAGGTGGCGCGTCTGAGATCTCCCCTTTCTCTACGCTAAGGGCGTGGTACCAGATGGGTTCTTCAGGATAGCCCGGCCGTGGACTCCGCACCCACTTCAAGCCGGGCATTGAACCTATCTTGCCAGTCAGGGCGGAGACGCCGCGAACAACGGCAGCCGCTACCCAATTTGGCAGGTCGTATGCCCCCATGAGTATTGCGCCGAAAACTACATAAACTGGATACAGCGTGAAGAGCAAGACCCCTTCCGTAAAGTACGAAATGAGGAACTCCTGTGGACCTTTGCTCGGAAGTTCACTGAGGTGAGAGTTGATCCCGAATATGATTGTTAGTAACCAAATCACTCCAAATATAAGCGCAATCCCGACTATGTGAACATATACGGAGTATTCGAGCATTGCGGCGAGTTGCCAAAGGGGGCTTCGTCGAGTTGGGTCGGCACGGCGAGCAAGTGCGAAGCGATACGCGAGGAACCCGGGAAGAACCAACAACAGCACTGCTGCTACGTCAACCGCTGTCTTGGGCACGGGTCAGTCTTCTGCCTACTCTTCAGATTTTGACTGGTTCGTGCCGGATGCTTGCTTGCTGTCCTTATCGCTCGGTGAGTGAGGCTCCAGTGCAACAAGTGGACTTACGGGCAACGGTTGATCGACTGCCCGCAAAATCAACTCGGGATCTCTTTTCCCACTCAGGTGAGGAAAGATCGACACGGGATTCTTGTACTGGGGTCGGAGAATCCTTGTCCTTACGGTTGTCGTTCTTCGGCATAGTTCACCTCCCTCGGTGTCGTCAACATCTATCATTATTATACTACGCCGCCATCGACTCGCGGTATCCGGGGTGGCCGGGCGCGCCGTACAGGGCGCACCCGCTGCACGAGCGGACCTGTCCGCATGGGGCGG